GTCTAATTAAATATTAATAAAAAGCAAATTTGTATATTTTTCAATAAAAATGTGTGTGTAATATTTGTTCATGTCTTGCAGCTCTCAAACATATGACATTTATGCTATGTGGCTGTTACATTAAGCAAGTTTGGCCACACCGGCTTAGAACAATATGTGCAATACTGGCAGTCTGTCAGGACAACTATGCCTTGCCAGCGCCCAGCTCCAGAAAGGGCAGTTGGTGGGATTTTCCACTTGGCCATCCTTTTCCCCTAATGTTGAAAGCCTTCCCTTAGTCTGTCCAACTTGAATCTCCTTTCTTGTCTCATTCCTTCTTGCCAGACTTGCTACTGCACTGTACCCAAGTTCATTTTTGAGGCCAGCCGGGAGACCTCAGGTACAAAGCACCCAATGAGAATAACTTCAGTCAGATCAGCAGGAGAGCCAGTCGGGTGCGGTGATTAGGGTTGGGGTCTAGGCCCTGAACTGCCTGAGGTCAAGTCCCCTCTCTGCTATGAAACTCACTGGGTGACCTTAGGCCAGTTATGCTGTTTCAGCCTAAAGCACTTCACAGGGATGGCATGAGACTAAAATGGAAGAGGGAATCATAGAATCATAAACTGAGTTCAAACTGGCAGTTTGAAGCGGGAGGGAGTCGTGGCAAAAAAGAGCCGGAACAGACTGTTCCGGGTTTTCCCGGTCACACTGCGTAGACTGATGTGGGAGCATACCAGGAGGAGGCGCGAGGGAACGTTCACAGTGTTGGCCAGGAGGCGCAGCTGTAAGCCGCGTTTTCCTCATGGCAGACGCCTATGAGCAGCAGCAAATAGGGCAGGATCTGGCTGCTGTGGCCAATAGGTGCCACAGTGAGGCTAGGTGCCAGAGTGAGGCTAGGAGGTCAGTCAGCGTAAACAGCTGGCACACATTATTAGCGCGGGTTGTTCCCGGCTTTTAGTGGTTAGCGTTCACACTTCCGGGAAGCGGATTGAAGCAGGTAAACTGGCTCTCCAGGGTTTGCTACCACTTTCACCAGGTATCTTTTAAACCCGGGAGGCAAGCGCTACAAGATGGGTTGAGTACGGGTGGGGAACACCAGACAGATGTGCCTGTGTGAACTGCCCCTTTATCCGCTTGTGAAATGCCTATATTGGGGCAAACTGCCAGTCTGAACTCAGCTATAGAGTTGGAAGGGACGTCCAGGATCATCTAATCCAACCCCCTGCACAATGCAGGAAATTCACAAATACCTCCCCTTCCACACCCCCAGTGACCCCTGTTCCACACCCAGAAGATGACAAACCCCTCCAGGATCTCTGGCCAAACTGGCCTGGAGAAAATTTGCTTCCTGACCCCACAGAGGCAATCAGCATTTCCCTGGGCATGTAAGAAAGGGCCACAAGAACGAAGCACTGTTGCAGCCCTTCCTGCCCTCCCTTCTTGTGATCTGCCTAAGTTCACAGAATCAACATTGCTGTCAGATGGCCATGTAGCCTCTGTGTGAAAATCTCCAAAGAAGGAGAACCCACCAGCTCTGGAGGAAGCCTGTTCCACTGAGGAACCGCTCTGTCATGAAGTTCTTCCTAATGTTTAGCCACAAACTTGTCTGATTTAATTTCAGCCTATTGGTTCTGGTCCAACCTTCTGGGGCAACAGAAAACAACTCTGCACCATCCTCTATATGACAGCCCTTCAAGTACTTGAAGATGATTATCATGTCACCTCTCAGTCATCATGAGTACTGCCCAGAGATCTTTAGAAGATTGGAATAATAATATATATAGATATTTCACAGGGTTAGCTGTATTGGGTCAAATGTAAAAAATATATATCAATTTTGACTTGGAACTACAGAAGCTTTATGCAGTATCCTCGATCCTCCATGTTTTCCGGTTAAGGGGGAAATGTTGTTCAAATAAATTACAAAGATGATCTGACTCCAATGCTAACAAGAGAAAGAAGTTCTGTTTAGAAAAATAGAAGCACATCTCAGCATTCCACAGTTAAGAAGGTTACATTTACAGATTAGTCCCCTATTTTGACATCTGTGCTCTGCTGTGTTTTTCCCTTGTAATTAAATCCAAACAAATGTTGACCATCTATATATATAATAGCGAAAGGTGCCCCCTGTGTGCGGATACCTAAATCCGTGCATCGGGGGCACCTGGGGGGAGGAAGATTTTCGTGCACACTTGGGGCAGTCCCCAGGTGTGCACAAAAATCTAAAAACCTGGAAAAAATATCGGGGGGATACTTAAATCCCCCCAAAAATGACAGAGCGTCGCCTGCGCATGCGCAGGGAACGCTCTGCAAACTCCCTGACCGCCGCCGCCGCTTCGGAGGGGGGTAGGGGGGAAAGAGAGCAGCGAGGCCCAAGCCGCT